TGTATCTTCTCCAACGTTAGTAAAAGTTACAAACACATCTGTCACATCTTAATGAAATAAAAGAAAACATATAAAAGAAAATAAAGATCATATATGAAAGAAAAGAAACTTGCATAAATGTAAATGCAAAATTAGCCATTACATTCGTTGGGCCATTTTTCCATCGAAATGTAGGTGCGTCACGCGTAGCAAGCGCGCTCATAATGTAAGAGACGCAGGCATGACCACAACATTGCCCGACATCAAATGGCAAATGTAATGTGAGCGGAACGAAACTGAGCTACTCGTTATTGTGTGGATGACGGACCATTTATCAGTTTGGACCCAGGGAGAAACATTGTGCCATGAATGAACTATCCAGTGTCCACAGATCAGCAACATTCACCATGGATTCATGGTAGTAACGCTAACTGTAACCATTGAAGTTTGGCAGGAAAAGTAGGCTATATAATGCTTTCAAGTAACATCACGTCGGTTTAATTTTGACATTATGAATACAATTGCTGCCCTCAAATGTTAATCTGAACTAAAATAAACGTTTGTTTAACTGCTACAATAGTACATTTCATTTTGTCCAAGGAGCCGTTTTGTTTTACAAGCTCCTAAGAAAAGACAAGTACGGCTCCATCATTGCTCAAAGTGAAAAAAATATCATACTTTATGATGTTAGTTTTAATAAAAAAAAATAATGCAAAAAAAAATAAATCAAGGAAATTTCTCCGGCATTTCTTTCTTTTTGCTGTGTCGGAAACGTACCGAACTGTGACACAAGTGTGTCGTATCGAACCGAACAGTGAATTTTGTGAATTTTGTGAGTGAGGTTGATCAGTTTGAAGGGTGGTTGAAAAACCCAGGCAACACAGTCAAAAAACAGCACTTGGTATTTATGCTTATAAAACATCTAAGTCCACTAACACTTGGCATTCACGCTTTTTTTGTTGTTGTCAAGGAGCATCTCAATAAGATTTGGAGAGGGTGCCTGGTGATATTGGGCAATTTAATAAATACATTTTTCCATTAGAATTAATGGGATTTTATGGATTTAGATGGTAAATGTTTACAGCTAACACATTTTAGCTTGTCCTATTAAAGGCAGGGGTGAAAATTTCATCAAAATGTTCTCAAGAGCAAATTTTGAAGGGGACACCAATAATACAGTTAAAAAAATACAGAGGAAAGCCTTACTACTATTATTAGTGTAGCATGGAGACCATTTCGTACTTGTTAAAATTTCTTTCTGGTTTAAGCCAGCGGCGAATCTGTTTACATACTCTCCTCCTCACGCAGCGCAGCGATTACATTTCATTCATTGACTCATTCTTTAAGTATATGAAATGATACCAACTAAATCACAGTGAAAGCGTTACAATCTAAATGTACAGCGCACCCGGACTTTCTCACCAGTGTATGGCCAGCAATATTGTAATGTTTAATGACATGAAGATAATGTCTGTTCTAAGTTATTATTGTACTGTACAATTAAATACAATCGTTCCTGAGTCTGCAGTCTGAAAACTTTACCTCAGAGCATCCGTTTACTGAATGAATTGAGAATCTCACCTGAAAAATCCAATAACACCAGCAATTGTCATTCAAGCAGCTGATTTCTGTAAATAAATGCAAAACTAAATGCATATTGCAGCACAGGGCGAAGTCAGGATCCGTCAGCACCGATTTGAGACCAAAAATGATTTAAATTGTATATAAAACTATGTAAATGGCGCTCTGTGGCGCAGCAGGGTTTTGAACACGGTCGTGACTCGTGAGTGAACCGTTGCTGGGCGCCGCCGGTGTGTAGTACACTCATAGAGAATAATGTGTTCGAATTTTAAAGACGTGGCGCGACGCGACGCTTCCCGTCCGGTGTGCGACCCCTTTACTGGAGTTCCACAACTACTCAAAAACTATGTTTTTTCTCTCCCGCCACCGGAATGTGTGTGTCTGAGGTAAAAGGGACGGAGGCAGTGAGTGGACCAATGCACTGTGAGGCAAGGGAGGGAGGTCTCAAAATGTTTAGAACGCTTTTTTCGATATTGCCCCGTTTGCATTTGTGTTATTTTATTTCTTAATTATTTTAAGAATATATGATTACATTATTTACAATACACATATTTTAATGTTTTTTTTTGGGGACAACCCTCAGATAGGGGGGGTCCTGACCCCCCCGACCCCCCCGCGATTTCCGCCTATGATTAAAGGGATACTCCACCGGGTTTTCATATTAAACTCAGTGGTGTAGTCTACGTGATACGCAGGTATACGCCGTATACCCACTAGAAAATGTCAAGGATTTGCGTATGCCCACTAGGGAATATCAAAGATCTCCGTATGCACACTTTAAAAAGCGTGAGGATTCGTAACAACATCGTTTTGTGAAAAAAATTTCCTACGACATCAGCCCCCCTAAACGTAAGGCGACAGAATTTCGTGTTCCCTAATCTTATTCGATTCAGCGCGCGAGCACGTCAAAAACAGAGGACGCAGGGTGTGTTTGTGTGTTCGTGTTCATCTGAGCCTCATTGGTCTGTCACTGCTCGTCAATGTCAGAATATGTGAGATGACAAATCAAATCAAAGTAGGCGGGCTGCTGAGCGCGAATTTCAGCAGAGTGATTCGACGCTTCAGTTTACAGGCAAGTGCGAGAAAAGATGTAAGTGGCTAAACTTAACATTTCATATTTTACATTTTTTAGTTCATGAATGTTAAACGAATGACAAAAAAATAATCAGGCAAACTATAGTTTTGTGTAATTTCGCCATTTAGAAGTGAAATAAATAGGCCTGTAACGTGACTCATGCAATTTAATAGTTTACAGTCATTGCGAGGGGACAAGAAACATTAACAAAGCCGTTTTCATCATTTTAGCCACAGGACTAATAACGAATGTGTACATATTGAGAATATAATAAAAATTGTAGCCTTTATTACATTAAAAAAGCTCAGCCTTCGGAGGGGGAGAGAATTTACGAGAGGGGGTTCAGCGAAAAATCGGCAGCTGGCAGCAGGAAGTAGCTGTCACTGGCAGCAGGAAGTAGCTGCCGTTGACAGCTGACCGTACCTGCCAATAAAACCGGATGTCAGCTGCCGCTAATAACCGGAAATCGGAGGTGTATGCCGGTTATAACTTATTATAATTATAAAATTATACATTAATTTTGTATAATTTTAGTAACTATTTACATAAAATACTTTAAGTACTAATTATTATTTTATATTATTCGTTTAAATTCAAGTTACAAACATCATAGACCTAAGAAACAAAAAAGCTACACTTGAAATTATGCATTTGTATGTGTATTAATATAACTTATGACTATACATGTTTGTTAAATAATGAAATATATGTGCATTCATTCCTATGTACATAAACATTCATTAAACTTAATGAAATGAATCTCAATGACCTTTAAGATCATATTTTGCTATCATTAAGTTCACTTTTACACTTGCAGTACTTAAAACATTTCTTGTATTTGTTTATTAAGCAGCTGTAATTTTTTTAAATAGGCTTGATATTTGTTCTGAAATCAGAATGATCAGCAGTCATGAACAAGACAGTAAAATTCCGATAAAACTGGCTTGAAAAAGCCTAGCCAAAAAGTTGTATAATGTTATAGCATGGTTTAACAAGATATACCATGTTTCTAGTGTTAGAGGATAACAGTTAAAAGACCCAGGATGAGATTCAATCAAATAAGTAAACATTTACTGAAGAATAGTTTGCAGTTTCATCGGTAGAGCCAGGCGTCAAAAATCTCACAAGGAGATGGTCTAAACAATTCTACACTTGGATAGATAGGTGCAAAACTTGGTTCGGCGATGACCTTGGAAGTCGTAGAAATGCATCTCATGGTCTGTTGTTGCATATCACAAGACCTGCATTCAACAACACACACACAGTTCTTCCAAGGTTATAGAGGGCTTAGGCTCACCATTATCAGGACAAACTACCAAAACAAACTGATAAAACACTCCCTCCTCAGAAAGTAGTACAATGTTCACTTTATTCATTAAAGAAATACAAAAGTATAATTCTGTTAATCCCATCACATAAGGTAACCTGGTCAGCAGAAAACAGACTGATGAGGGTGTTTCTCAGACTTGAGCTCTTCTATTAGATTAGCAAAGTTGAAAGGAAATAATTTTAGTTAAAGATCATCTTAACAATTTATTGTCATTGCAGTGTTGCAACAAAATTACATTAGGCCATCAGTCGACAGTGCAATTTATGAGGAATAAGATCAACAAGAGCATATTTTGTAACGAGGCACAGCGGCAGATATCAAACAGGAATAAAGATGAAAAAAAAAAAAAAAAAGTGTATGAGGCAGAGAATCAATAGTAACCAGAAAAAGATGTTGTATACTTGAATGTGCTGCAGCAATGCAAAGTCCAGTCACAATTATTGCAATGTTTGATAATATGCATAATAGACAGATTAAGTGAGATCAACAATAGCAAGGAAACGGGGAAAGCCACAAAAACAAGGGATAAGGCAAACAGTCACTATGAACCAGAAAATGTGTATAATTGTGTTGTGCAGCTGCAACAATGCAAAGTCCAGATTACGGTTATTGTAGTTGTTGGGTAGTGTTAAGTGAGTGGATTAGGTGAGAAGAGGTAGCCGGGGATGGTGCGATCTTATATGTCGGTAACACTTTACAATAAGGTTCATTAATTAACATTAGTTAATGCATTTACTAACATGCACTAACCATGAGCAATGCATTTGTTAATCTTTGTTAATGTTAGTTCATGAAAATCCAGCTGTTCATTGTTTGTTCATGTTAGTTCACGGTGCATTAACTAATGTTAACAAGATTTTAATCAAGTATTAGTAAATGTTGAAAATAACATTAACAAAGATTAACAAATGCTGTATATGTGCTATTCATTATTAGTTCATATTAACTAATGTAGTTAACTAACAAACCTTATTGTAAAGTATTACCTATATGTCCTACGCAGTTAGACGAGTTGGATAGTCGAGTGGGCTTTTAGACTGGACCTGGAAGAGTGAATGAATTTTCACTCTCCAGCAGCTGACACCAATCACTGCAAAACCCTGGATGGGTGTTTTCCGAGTAAAAGCCTTGGATTTCTCCTCGTTTTCCTCTTCCAACATAACCTAGAGGATTCATAAGAAAATTGTGACATTAATATCCAAATTACCTTAATAACAGGACACATGGATGCAGCCACATGAATGACTATTAATTCCATGTTGTCATTAAGCACATTTTTCATAATTGATACACCTGGTAAGCAGTTCTTGTAAACGTCATTGCAGTGTCTGCAGGGCTGCAGTGTGTACATCTGATAATAGTCTTGATAAGTCTTCCTTCTCCAATTTGTTACACCTGAATATTTCAATTTGAGGAGCATAAAAATGAACACGATTAAAAAGGGAATAATTGATGACATGTTGACATAGGCTACCAATACATTTCTCAGTTACCATTTAAACCACATTTAAATCAAATGTGTAAAAGTAAATACATACTGTCAAGCCAGCAGAAGTGTGCCCTCCTCCTAAATGAGTCTGTATCCACCAGACTTCTATCCATCCCCCTCCTCAAGGACCACGTGGAGTAGAATTTCAGACAGGACAGCGTCCGGCAACTATTGAGTGTTACAAAAAACAAAACAAAAAAAAATTAATACTACCATTGTCAAAACATCATGACCTAACCTCCATTGGTGCAAATTATGCATCCTATTAGTGCAGTGCAGGTAATACCTGAAAACATTTAATTCAACAATAATATGTCATGAAGCTACTATGATAGTTTGTGAGATAATAAAGGCTTTGAAATCTGTTAAATCTTTGCTTCTGTCATATTGAATGTACTACTACCATCAAGATTTCGATGTTCGGTTACTTCGGTACTTGTCCTGCCTCCTCTCGCTCTGTCTCTTCACAGACTGGCATGGCTGACGTGCGCTTCCTCTTTCTAAAAACAAAAACAACATGCCTTTCATTACCAAACATTACTTAGAATAGGTAAATAAAAACTATTTTGGAAACAATATAAAAAACTATCTATACCTTCCATGTGTCATTTTTGACAGTAGCAGATTCACCCACCACCGCCTGATATGGGCCATTTCATTCTGAAAAGCAAAAGATTAATTTTAAAATGGATGTTTAAAATGTCCAAAAGTAATACCTTTCCTAAAAATATTAAGAGAAGGGATAGTGCTTACCTGGTTAACTTAAAGTCAAACACCATGTACAGTGCATACTGTCAAACAGAGAACACATTTTAAAGGGGTGGTTGATTATGAAAATTCATAAAAATGCAAAAATACGATTTTTCTCCATTGACAGTTGAGATATATCATAAAAACATAACCATACATGGCAGACTTAAAACCAGCTAATTAAATCTTTCGATCGGCAGGAGCAGGATTGAGCACACCTGAACTAGCTTATTAAACTAAAGCAGGCACAGATACACTGTCTCTAAAAAGTTAAAATCCAATTTATAGAGCAACAATTATTTATTAATCTGATTCATTCACGAACTTACCAAGCCAAAAGCCGCCGCCATTACTGAAAACTCGCGGGCCTGCTGTCTCTTAACTTCAAGGTACATGTGATTGGTTGCTGCTACGTTGGAAAATACTGATTGGCTGCCACGACCTGGCAGGTCGCTCCTAATTTGGTAGGGCTTCCGGCTGTCAACGGCAGCTACTTCCTGCTGCCAGTGACAGCTACTTCCTGCTGCCAGCTGCCGATTTTTCGCTGAACCCCTACTGGAATTTACTGCCCACTGACATGGTTTTAAAGCTATTTCTTATTCTTTTTTTCTTCAAACGTCTTGAAATGCACATCAAAGAAATAAAAAAAATTGAAGCACCAACCTCAAATTTAGGACCTCTTTGATTATAAAGCCCTGTCTACGGCCCCGTATTAGTCATAAGATCAATAATGAATGTGTAGCCTATATGTTTAGAATGTATTTAATAAACTTAATTACCTAACTTTAGTAGCTTTCAGTGAATAAACGTGTCCGAGAAAAATTATTCATAGGGAAAATTCACTTATCAGTTGACCCCATGTTTACTTTCTTCACTGACAGACAAAAATGAAAAGCCTACATCAGTCACAGCTCATCTTTAGGAGGGGAAGAGACAGGGCAAGATAAAAACAAAGAGAAAAAGAGGGTGATGCTGATGAGGAGAGAGAAATAATCAGCTGCCCAGTGCCCACTGGTTTTAAAGCTGTTGCCTTCAAAACATCCTAAAATGCACATACGTAGATCAGAGAAATAAAAATTTTCTCAGGGAAACCCTGAACTCCCCTAACTAACCTACCTCACATTTGGGACAACAGTGATTATAAAACCCTGCCTTTTGCATGTAATGAAACCGGTTAATAGTGAGCATTAAGATCCTAAACTAAACCTAGTGACGCCCCTGCTTCATGCAACCTGTCAAAGTTTAAAAGAAATATGTTACTATTGCACAGCAGAGTACTTCAAGTAGGCCTAATAATATTAATAATAGTTTATTAAAGAGAGAGGATGTGCGGCATAACCCATCAAACATGACAGGTTTATTGCCCCCCATAAAAATAAGCCCCGCCCCTTTTACCCCTCCCACCCCTCCCGCTTATGAACTGTACGTACACCGTGGGAAATTCCCACGGTCTCCCTCCTCTTTCCACCCCTCACCATCACCATCACCACCCCTAGCCACCTCTTCTGGACTGGTCACGTGATCGGGGGGAAAAATTTCCCCACGAACCGGACCCCGATCCATCCGACCCGGTACCGAACTGGACACCTGTTACGGAGGGGGTCGTGTCACCACCCCCTCACCACTTCAGGGTGATCGCACGATCCCCACGATAGTGAAAAAACAATACATTTTCAAACTTTAAGGACGACATAAAACAAAAGATAGGTTTAGTGATTTTATTAAAAGAAAAATCTTTTACACAGACTTGAAGTTGTACAAACTATAACAAATACAATAACGTTGTAATAGTGTTCTATTAAAAAAAGTTTTCTAAAATACATCTTTAGTGTTTCATTAAAAATGCACGGCTTCATATATATTTTATGTTAAAACAGTTTACAAATTGTGTTAAAAAGTCAAAGATCGACCATTTTACAGAAAAAGTCAAGCAAAGGGGTTTTTCATTACAGAAAACTGTTTTTTCTAAAACATTTATTTTTTAAAAAGACATGCGTTTACAAAACAATGTTTTAAAATCCGTTTTTAGTCAATTTATATCATTAAGACACGGCAGGAGTCTTTACCTTTACAGGCTATTTAGTAAATTGCTACGTTTTTATATAAAACATCTGTTTCGCTCTTTTCACAATTACGCGTTTTAAAAGTATTAAAATATTGTATAAAGTTAAAATACATGTGTCTTTAGCGTTCATGCATCTGCGGGCATTAAATCGTGTTTTTAAAAACATCTAAAAGCGTATGTATTAAACTTATATCAAGTAAATAGTTATGTTTTCTTAATAAAACATATAAAACCGGTTGTTCAATATCAAACAAATAGACCTATTTCTATCATACATTTTAAAAAAGTATTACTTTTCACATAACATGTATAATGTTTAAATCTATTAACCCATTTATAGATACAGTGCAAGCCTTTAACGTTACATCCAATGCATTTTAAAATAAGACGGGTGTTTTAGAGTCTTCAATAACAAAAAAATAAAAGTATTTGAGCAAAAGTTTTACAATTACATGTCGTTTAAAAGTATTAAAATACACGTCTCTTTACAGGACGGAGCATGAAACTTAAATGAGAGAATTAACGCCTTGCAATGAGGCGCGCTAACCACGCCCCCGTAGAAGACGCACGTGCGGCGGATTGGTCCACGCTCTATTCACGCCCCGTAGAAGACGCATGCACGAAGCATTGGTCCTGGCTTCATAGAGGCGCAGGTAAACTCCTCCCATACTCTGACAGACGCTGTTTTAAAAAGCCAGAAACACAATACTCACTTTTTGTGGTTTAACTGAAAAAACTTATTCGCCTATAATGGCTACTGCACCCGAACCCAAGACTCCTGAAAGAAACATTGATGAGGCTATGGCGGATCTGACTCTAGCGCCTAGGAAAAAACGAGGACCATCATTAACGAAGTTTCTTCACGAGCCATTGGGCCGTGTGGAATATTCATTTCAGCTATCAGATGGACGTGCATGCATTTACAATTTCGACAAACATAACCGTGAAGTCCGTCTGAGTAATGTGGACGGGGGCGAACGGTTTACAACGAATATGACAGAAGACCCTGATTTATTGTTTACCGAGAGAGACTGGATTTTATTTTATACGAAAGTGTGGAGGGACTTGCAAGATGGTGGAAGTGAGCCGCTATTTATAGCGGAATGGTCGGGCCTGAGTTTTGGGACAAGATACAGGTTGCTTGCGGACCACATCAATAAGTATGACGAGGACTACATTTACATTCTACCCAGTGATTTCGGAAAGGATGGGGATGGATGCTCGTGGCCTATCAAAGAGAGCGAACATCTACGATTTTATGATTTAAAATTCATCTTTCAATGGAAAGATATCGCGAATTTGAATGGTATTTTTTCTGAAATACACAAACTTTTCCAATGGTGCGACGCTTTTGACAGATACGAGGGTATTAAAGTGAAGTTGTTTCACCCGGAATGGTGTACATAGGTATATAGCACCACCCACGCTCTACAAATAATAATGCCTTCGGATTCCGCCAGTCCAGCTCATACTCGCACTATGTCTCAAGAGGATATCATCTCACCATTCTCCCCTCCCGGATCTGTTGATGGATATGGTACAAATGGATACCCCCACCAAAGCAACGACTGGCTAAATAAATTTTGTACGGAACTTGGATTTCACAATCTCGCATTCCTCACGAGCTACGGTGCTGACGTTTGTGCCGTCGCTGCTGCCACTGCTGCTGCTACTGCTGCTATTGCAGCCGAGACTCCTGGCACCACGTCTAGTGACGAGCTGGACGGGTGCCTTGGTGATACCGGCCACAGGATTATTAAAGCAGTCGTTACCATCATACTGGAATATCTGATTGATAAGCAAATGAAGAAGGATTGCGCCGGATGTACCGTAGACCATCCGTCCCAAACAAGACATTCGTGTCTGTTTGAGCCTACACCGTATTATTTTTACAATTGTTTTGACGAAATCAGTCTGAAACTCCTCAAACCTGAGCTGAAAACTATCTTAGCTCAGGCTTTGAATCTGTACGGGGCTACCCCACACCTGCAAAGAATTCAGGGAGCTGTGGAGACCATTTTGTTTGAGCTCAAAGATGAGATGTACATTGTGGAGCATCTATCAGGCAGAAGCTAGTCGACGAAAGCTGTGAACAGATCGTATACAACGCTGTTGACAACTGGAAACACGTTGATGCTGAAAACCTTGATTCTACCTCAGTTTGAAGATGGGAAACTGCTGCACCTCCTGGATAGCCAAACATTTCTTTAAATCGTATGTAAAACGTGTGATATCAAACTTGCTGTACAAGATTATCGATGATAATCATGCAACAGGTGATAACGTTACTATGGTTGATAAACGAATCAGATGAACGCTGTAAGAGGGATATCAAATCAATGGAATAATATGATAAACATGTCCGTCAAACACATACCTTGCACGGCTATCAACAACATTCTTGAACTGATGCCTGAATGCAAGGAATCTCTTAGAATAGGAAATATATCATGTCTTTGTACGTATGTGACTGATGTTTGTAAATTGTCAAGGAATGAATACCCCGATGTTTGTAAAATGATTGATATTTTAGTTGAATACATACATGTTGGAGAAAAATTTTGAAATGTGTGTAAATTTTAATTTTGATGTTCGGATGATCCGTGTAGA